TTTTGTTTTGCTTTCAAGTACTTAACAAAAATATGGCAGAGAACTTAACTTGTTGTTGTGGGGATGTGCGGTGTAGAGAGGGAGGAGTGGGGGAGGGCTGTGTTTGTGCTTTTAGCCATTTAATTTTCATTATATTTTCTTTGCGTTAACGCAGGCAGCGCAGTTGGCGTTGACGTCGACGTTGCGCCTGCGCGCATTTTAAAATTGCTTCTGGAAAATTTGTTTTCGGTATATTTGTTATTGTTGTGGGTTTTCAGTGGTGCGTTTTAACTGTTGTTATTGTTGTTCTACTTGGTGTGTGTGTATGTGTGCGCGATTGTGTGTGTGTGTGTGTGTGTGCGTTTGTTGATGATGCAATGACGCTGCGCTTGGCAGCTGTTGTCTACTGCCGTCTGCTGTGTGCCAGGTTCTGTCTCGGTCTTCGTCTCGGTCTCAGTATTGGTCTCCCGTTCCATTCCGGCCTCTGGCCCTGCCCCTGCCCCTGTCTCTGCCCCTGCTGCTGTCTCTGCCTCTGCCGCTGCCTCTGTCGGGATTCAGCAGTTTGTTTATGCGCGCACTTTGAGGTTGAGGTCCACGAGTTCGAGTATTTCCTGCACTTCCGCAACTCTTGGATGCAGAGCAGTTGATTCCCAGCCCCAGCGGCAAACAATGCTGTCTGATTGTTGCTGCGCACAGTTTGCAGCTTTTCAAACATTCATTCATTCATTCGCTGTCTACCTGTTTAAATTCCGCCTGGCAGCGACAGGTGCTGCTGCCCTGGCTGCCCCCGCCCTGTTATCAAGTCATGATTCTACTTCCATTTCTACTTCCACTTCTATTTCCGCTACCAAATTGTCACATTAAATGCCCGATAAGATACACAAAATTCGTGTCATTTAGTTAATTTAAGAATTATTCAATTCGATTCATAAACCATTTAAACATCTATTAAATATGAAAAGTGTGCGATAATATTTTGGTCTTATCGCTGTTCAACTTAATGTTAAGCCCATCAAGAAAAAACCTAAATTTCGGGTACGTCATAATCTTGCCGATATGCATCGATAAGAAAGCGTCACCTTGATAAGCCTGAGAGTTATATTAGGAGACGAGTTAAAAGCGTATTTCTTGAGTTTGATCAAAATATTGTGAAAAACAGAACAAATATCCATCTAGATCTAGACCATCTATAGAACTAGATGAAAGAGTAGTCAATGTGGTTCATGAGCAAGTAACATATGCTATATGCTAAGCATCTGGAGAAACAAAGAAGGCTTAAAATTTGGTATATCATTCCTATAACAGCTATACGATATAGTGTTCCAATACATATATACATCCTACAGCAAAATGGGATCCATGCTAAGTTTATTGTCGTTGGCCTTAAAATTGATAAGAAAAACTTGCATAGAAACAGCTAGGCAGATATATATATAATATAATATACGTTTATGACTAATTGGCGTAGGGTTTTTGATTGTAATCAAAAATCAATTCAATTCGTTAAATGACAGATCAAAGGCGCCTAACAGCTGAGAATCAGAATACATTTAAGATAAGGATCGATTGCCTTTTACGATAGACTTTCATTCATGAATAATAATCGATAACATATCTTTTGGTGATTATATTCAGATTAGCTTGGGCATGCTGCTACGCCAGCCCAGCGTAGAGGTCGGATACCAATTTTTGTGTATATTACTTGATTTTTTGTTACACCCAAAACCCAGGCTTAAGTCTGATGAAGCGCCAGCGTTGAGGTTCAGGTTTTTCTTACAATTGCCGCACTTGTCACCAGCTGGGACTGGAGCGAGGCAATCTTTTTGTGCTACGCTTTTTATTTGCCGCTTGCCTCTGCTGCTTTTATTGTTATGCGCGCTGCGTAGAACAAGTGGAAGCTTTGTTTGACAACAACAACAACAACAGCAACAATAACAAAGGCAACTACAGCTACAACAATCATATTAACAACAATAACAACAATAACAACATTAGCAGCAACTGGTAAAAACGTTAAGTTTACACGACTTCCAACCGCCGACAGCTTCACCTGACGACTTGGTCTCCTTCTTCTGTTGTGGGCTTGACATTTGACAATAAAGCAAATAATCATGGGAAAAAGCTGAGCTCCCAACTCGCTCTAAACACTTGTTTTCATGTGCCTTTGTCTGCCTGCTTGTGTTTGTGTTTGTGTTTGTTTTAGCCAAATGTGTTTTCGTTTTCGTTGACTACCCGTTTAACAAACAAAGTACAACAATCAAAACCAGCTATTCCTTAACCTGCTACGTCAGCCAACTGCCTTTAATCTAATCTCTCTAGTCAATATCGGCCGCGCGGGTCCGAAATTTTTGCACAAAAAAATATCACTTTGGCGCACTTTGATTATCCAAATTCTATGGAATGTTGTTGAGTAAACTATTATAACTTAATCTTTTATCCAAGTTTGTGTGACATGTCAGCCAATGGTATAGTTTAATATAAGAATATTGTCAAGCCGATGAAGAAAACAAAAAATTCAAAGTAAGAAACCAACGAAGAAAAAACTATGGATTTAGGAAGATTCGGCTTCATGTAGATAATCTTCTATTTGAACTTGACGAACTGATCTAGGTAAATTTAATACGACAGGGAATCCAAAATTAACAACAATCAATAAAATGTGTAGCTTATCAAAGAACATTCTGCTTCTCTTATCGCCAACTTAGACAATTTTCCGTTTCGACATGTCGAACGGATCTAAATTAAATAAGACAGGCAATTAAATATTGGCAACAGCCAATCAAATTTGTGGTCTTATCGGTTTCGCGATATGCCAACCAGACTTGGCTCGCATAAAAAGCTGCCCCTCGTGCGAACAATTTCAATTGCGAGAGCAAAGCCAATTCAAAGAGTTGTCATTCTAAATAAGTGAAATTCAGTCCCAAAAGTTGAAAAGTGTTTTTACCCGTTTTCGGAATTCTGATTATACTGATTACTAATTCCTCAATTGGCTAAGAGTAAGCAACACTTCGATTGCTTTAAGGTATTTCCTACTGTTTATTTCTTAAAAAACTATTTTAATACATACATAAAGATATATCTTTTTTAAAGAGAATAATAAGAAATTATCTGTTAAAATTGTGAACACTTTGACGAGCTGTTGGTTTATAATGCACACAAATAAGTGAAATTAAGTCCCAAAAGTTGAAAAGTGTTTTTACCCGTTTTCGGATTTCTGATTATACTGATTACTAATTCCTCAATTGGCTGAGAGTAAGCAACATTTCGATTGTTTTAAGGTATTTCCTACTGTTTATTTCTTAAAAAATCCTTTTTCTACGTATACAAATCTTTGTATACATATCTTGTTTTTAGATTATAATAAGAAATTATCTGTTAACATTTCGACGGGCTGTTGGTTTGTAATGCACATTAAATAGGTTGATATCTATGGTTTAAGGACAAAGTCCTTACGTAAGGAATATGAATACCGTCGCGTGTAACGTAACGCCCTACGTCATATCCGCTACGTAAACGTTTAGATTTCGAAACAATTTATGTATATTTCTAGTATTCCAATTGGCAATCTGTATTAAAGAAACTGTTTTTAATATTCTAATATACAAACATAATATATACATATTTATGATCCCACTTAGGAATGAGGTTGACGGATTTATTATATGTAAATACATATAGTAATTTCTGAGAATGTGGAAATATTGAGTTAAAGTCTTCTGCAAACTACAAAATATTTTGCATAACAATTATTAAAACCCATTTTAATGTAATTTCGCACATTTCAAATCAATTAGTTAAATGCATTCGAAGTTTTGGGAGGGTTTTTTGGTCTTATATGCAGAGAGCGCAACGTATAAGCATGCAACATCAAACTCAGACATCGAACTCGAGCCGAATGCATGTAACAGTGCCATTCGGAGCTTAACATAGCCATTTTGAGTACAACATACAACATTAACAGTTTATGTTAGCTTTAGTTTAAATTCCTCAATTTGTTAGAATTAATATTTCAACAATTTGCATAGTTTAGTTGACTTTAATTGCTATCAATATCGCTTGGGAACATTTAAAAAATCAATTGTTTAGCCTAGGAGTAGAAAATCTATCAATTTACAATAACAGCAGTACCTGCTAACGATCTTGTATGTTCGGTTCGCTGACTGGTTACGATGCGTTGGCGGTTCGACTTGTGCAGCGCAACGTAAGCGTTTACGTGTCGAGTTACGTGTTGGTGTTAGTCCGCGGCAAACAGTCAAAGGCAACGGGTCAGATACGCGCGTGTCGGCAAACCGCAAACCAAAAAAAATAAATCGGCGAAAGATACAAAAACATTTCAGAGACCGAACACCGAGAGCATTGATAAAAATGTTGAATCGATTTAACTGCAGACCGAAACTCTGAGGCTGCGTGTGTATATGGATTTCAAATTCAATTTTATTCTGTGTGGAGTATAACAAAAAATTAAAAAAATAAAAACAAAAAATAAAAATTTTAAAAAATATGCAACCGCGATAAAAAGTCGAGCGGCTTTATGAATGATACAATTTCTTTCGCAAATTTGCGATCAATATCAATTTGTCAGTGCAAGTGAATAAATTCGGGAATTTCGTCATTGGGCGTAAAAAGCGATTATCGTGGAAGGACTTTCGATTTCGAACTGATGTTAATTGCTTGATAAGCCAGGCGACCGCACACAGTTTCGGCAAAAAAGAACAAAACAAACTTTGCACAAACCACAACAACATCAACAACAACAACAATTGCAATTGCCAGAGGCAACATCATCTTCTCCGTCCAGCAAACAACTGACATCGTCTGTCTACGCCTGATACACAAATATATATATACTTATAATATAATTATATGCATTTGTGTGTGTGTGCATATATAAAAAACGATCGGAATCGCTTTTGAGTGTGTGCGTGTGAAATATACATACATATGCATGCTGCGACGATCCTGCTATATAATCGACTACACGCATAGAGTATATATATGAGCATACATATACATATATATACATAGATATATATATATATATTATATATATCTAGGCAGAGTAGAAGATATATGCGTATGAGCTGAACGCGGCGCACTCTGCTCTGCTTTTTTCTTTTATAATTACTTTTGTCTAAAATTAGAAAACGTGTGTGTTGTCTTCGTCGGGTGTGTTGTACGTGCGTGTGTGTCTGTTTGACTCTGTGTCTGTGTGTCTGCTATATCAACAACATCATCATCATCGTCATCATCAGCGACAACAGAGACAGCGTGCGTGTATTAGTGTATGTGTGTGTGTGCCAGAAAACACTCGACAGTGAATCAGGCAGCAACTACGGCTACGGCTACGGCTACGACTACGACTACGACTACGACTACGGCTACGTCTATATAGACAGATCGCGTATACGGCGAGACAAACATTAACATTATCGAAAATACAAAAAAGTGTATCTCACAGATACGCGCGCGCAGCGAGGATTACAATTACAACAGCAGCAGCAGCAACAAAAACAATAATAACAACAACAACAACACCGACACGAACGACGCGTCGCATCGCACGCACGAACACACGAAACGGCCAATCGGCTGCAGCCGACGGCAGCCGAAGAGCTAACGAGACGCGCACGAAACGCGCGCGCGTGAAAAACGTCGTGAAAAACGCGCAAGGCAACAACAAATGGCATAAAAAATCGCAACAAAAACATCACAAAAACTTAAAACCAAACGCCACGCGACGACCTTAAGTCTACGTCCATTCGAAGAGGGGGGGGGCGTGACCAGAGCTCAGTGCGTCGACTCCAAGGCGCTCAAGTGAAACGCGAATAAAATCAAATCAAATAATTCTAAGCTAAATAAATGCAACAACAGCAGCAGCAACAGCAACAATAACAACAATAAACGAACGAACGAACGAACAAGCAAAGCAGCAACAGCAGCAGCAACAATAACAAATACAAGCAGCAATTTATTTATTTAAAGATATACATATACATTTTTTGCATTGCCAAAGCAGACGATCGGGCCAAAATGAGTCACCAGCAACAGCAGCAACAGCAACAACAGCAGCAACAGCAACAACAACAGCATCAGCAACAGCCAAAAAAGTTCTCAAAGTGCTCATAAATATTATGCTAGAAATTGTTAAACATTCACTGTCTCTAACACTCTCACTTAACGTGTCTCTCTTTCTCTGTGTCTCTCTCGCGTCGCGTCTCTCTGTTGCTGTCTCTCAAAATGCTACGAAACTATCGAAAGTATTTGCAGGATAAACGAAAATACGACAAGGCACAGCGACGACGCAGCGGCGGCAACATTTGCCAGCAATAGACAGACAACAAGCAGCAACAACAAATCACAACATCAGAAGCAGCAACAACTAGTAAGCAGCGACAGCAGCAGCAACTAGCTAACGATAAGCGATAGACAGCAATCGATAGTTGATTTGTAAATAAAGCTAGGGCAACAGCAACAACAATTTTGGAGGACGCCATGTATGCGCAACATGTGCGCAAATGGAGTCTAAAAACGCAACTGCAACTAATGCCATTGATATCGCTAGCAATCTCCATGTTGCTATTGATCACATGTGCGCCGGCGACAACAGCAGCTGCAGCGTCAGCGGCAGCAGAAACAATCACACATCAGCTGCGAAGATCATGGGAATCAGAAGAAAGCAGCTACTATATTGCATTGCCACAGCAGCAACAGCAGCAGCAGCTGCTGGCGGACAATGGCAGCGGGAGCAGTGAAAGCGTCGACAGCAACATCGACAATAGCAACAGAAACAGCAACAGCAACAATAATATTCAATTAAGTAGGCTGCCCAGCCGGCCCAGCAGTCTTAGTAGCTTTAAAAACATTAAGTTTAGGTCAGCAACAGTATTCGACGCAGGCAGCGATAGCGATGCGGCTGTACTGCGACAGCAACAGCAGCAGCAACATATTGCTGCGGTGACAACGCAGCAGTCACAGCAACAAGTTCCAAATACGCTAATAAATAGTCAAATATATAAATTATTATACAATAATGGCATGCCCAGAGTGGCGGCGAGCAGCAGTAAAACGCGACGTCATGCACTGCAACAGCAACAACAGCTGCAGCTGCAACAGCAGCAGCAGCAGCATCTCAGCAACCCTGCGCGGCAGCCGCAGCAGCAGCAACTTATTGCTGCCTACAACTTTAGCAGCAAGGCAGGAGCAACTGCTAGACACAACACAACACAACGCTATTTTATTGAGTCCTACGAAGTGCCAGAGAGCAGCGAGGAGCAGACGGCGCGGAATCGCCGCGATTTTGGCAGCTCCGGCAACAGCAATGGCCAGCGGCAATATCGCGCCGGTGGCGGCCACCGACAGCAGCAGCAGGAGGCAAAACGCGAGCATCGCCGCCAGCGGCAGCAACAGCGCCAACAACAGCAGCAGCATCACCAGCATCAGCAGCAGCAACATCGAAAACATCCACGGAAGCATCGGAACAGGCAGCGGGCCGGTCGTTACTGTTCAGCTCGGGATCCCGCTCAACTGGCATATGCGGCGCCCACCGTGTTTATGGGCGTCTTTAAGTCCATGTCGGCCGATCGGCGGACGAACTTCTCGGCGACCATGAAGGTGCTGCAGGTGTACAAACAGCAGCTGAATCTGCAGCTGCCGCAGCTGGTCCGGCTGCAGTTCGCGCTGCGCAACAACAGCGGCGAATGCGACATCTACAGGGAGCGTCTGTTGCCGCGGGGTCTGGTGCGTGGCAACGATCTGGAGCAGGCCTCTGACATTACCTACATGATGTTTGTCCAGCAAACCAATTCCGGCAACTTCTCCATCCTGGGACAGCCCATTCGCGTTACGCCCGCGGTCCTCGAAGCAGTTCAAATGGCTGTGAACGAAACTTATGGTGAGTCCAATCAAATCCCTAAAATATCATAATATTAAGAGCTGAAAATTGCATATTTTCCATAAAACCCCAAGAAATAACTTCAGTCTAAATTTAAGATATAGTTTTCCACAGCTTAAAATCCTTGCATTGATCTTACTTAAATAGATTTTTAGTAGCCATTGCCCAGTGTCTTATCGATGTCTTCTATCTCCCTCTAAGTGTGTCTTATCGATGACTCCTGTCTCCCTCTAACTGAGTGGCAGCTGCCTCTTTCTACCAATTTTTTTGCGCGTTTTTTTGTTTTCTTTGCTTTTTAATGAAAATTTACCTTTTTTTATGCTGAATTTCTTATTTGCCAACTTCACGCTCTGTTAATATCCACCAGACCGAAATAATTTTATGCAACACACACACACACACACACACACACATAGTTGGAGCCGTCGCACATGCGCCGACGATTGCAATTTTCCAGCCAGGTTCGCATCCAGGCGGCATGTTGCTGCTGCTGCTGCTGCTACTGCTGCTTCTTCTGTTTCCTCTACAATTTGGCGGCTGGGCAGCAACAAGAAAAGCTCAGCTCTAGAATTGATTGTTGTTGTTGCTGTTGCTGCTGCTGCTGTTGCTGCTGCTGTTGCTAGTTGCACATTTTAATTAAATTCGCATTAATTTTGTGCTGCTCCCCAAGTTGGAAAAACTTTGAAAACTCATTTCTTCTTCTGGCCTTCGTCTTGTCGTTGGCATCTGCAGTCGACCTTTGCGGTTGGCGTACCCAGCCCTAAGTTGTTGTTGTTGTTGCTGCTGTTGTTGTTGTTGTAATTATTGTTGCGTTGCGGTTCATGACGTTTGCGTTTGCGTCTGTAACGCGACTAAGTGCGCCCAACAAGATCCCGACTTCAACAATATGCGAGCTTAAAGATATATAAATGTGTGTGTATATATGTATGTATATATATACGTGTGTGCGTGTGTGTGTGGATACCCCGACACCGCCCTCGCTTGTCGCTTTTCATTTTTTTATTGTCTTTTGCTCGTCTTTGCTTTGTTTCAGCGCGGTCGCAATTAGATTTTTAATTCATTTTTTGCTGCTGCTGTTGCCTCTGTTGCTGCTGCGTCTTCTTTGGCTTCCGTCATGGCTGTCGCACACAGCAAGCCCGGGCACCGCAGCGGGCGAGGGCGCTGGCGAGGCAATGGCAGCCCTTTTTGTTTGAAATCAGAAATCAGCTGCAATCAGCTGTTCTCTCTGTATAGCTCCCTAGCGGCCCCTCTCTCACACGCTCTCTCTCCCTCTCTCTCTACCTCTCTCTCTCTCTCTCTCTCTCACTCGCGTGCGCTCCATTCTCAGCTTGTGTTTATTTACTTTTTGCTGCCCCCGCGTCTGTTCCTTTCAGCTTCATCAATGAATGGAACTGAAACTGGGCTGTGCAGCGTTTTGTGGCAGGGCGGCAGGGGCACACAGGATATTTACTTTTTCAGTTTGAGATTGATTTATTTTGCTTTGGGCTGCGGCTTTTGTTGGGCTCTTTGTTTGCAAACGCAGCGCAAAATTTGCATCTGCTTCCATGTACATATATATATACATATATATTTATATATTTATTTTTTGACTGCTGATTGGCAAATGTCTAGCATTAAATGATGCTTAAATGCTGTCCATGCACCAGATGCATACTAATCCCCATAGAAATAGCCACCTACGCCCGTCCGCCCCGCAACAGCATTCACTTTTCGCCACCGAAATTTACATATCAATGGCATAAATCAATCGCTGGCCGAAGATCGTCAGCAAAATAGCCATAAAATCGAGCCAATCAATGTCAGTCGCGATTCATCACCATGAAGAAATTATAAAGTTAAAAGAGAAAAAGCCCAATATGAAGAGCCAATAACAGTTTACACGAAGCTCGACCAACTGTTGCCGCAAATACGCAGTTGCGAACCGGTTCAAGCCAAGTTAAGTATACGCACCGTGTCGCAGCCGGAACTGTGTCCTCTCTGCTCTGCTTAAAACTAATTAAAATGCTTTTGCTTGAACTTGAATGAATCGGTATTTTCATGAATTAACTGGCCCAATATTATTGTCCAATTTGCACCCACGCAACGTCTTCATTTCTCACACAACCGAAGCCAGAAATGTGACTTCAAATATAAAAAATTATAATAAAAAAGGCCATGTGAAAAGTAAATAGAAAAAAAAATAAATAAATGTTTTATTCTGTTGCTCGCTGGCTTCTATTGTTTTTTGGCATGGGCTATTATAGTTGAATTTTTTCTTTCTTTATCTTTATTTATGTGGTTGCTGTTGCTGCTGCTGCTGTTGTTGCTGAGGTGTTAAGTAAATTAGCTGCTCATAAAATATCATTTGCTTTTGTGTGCTCGTCGTTACCAGCAGCAGCAGCAGCAGCAGCAACAACAATCGATGCTGTTGCTGCTGCTGCTGCTGCTGCTGCTGCTGCTGGTTGTTTGTTTTGGTTAAAAGCGGAGACAAACTGGCAGTGCTCGAAATGCCGCCAAGCGTAGACCAGAAGCAATCGAAACAGCAGCAACAACAACAACAGCAGCTGTCACGGCAGCAACACCTTCAATCAGTGCAGCCCACAATGGCCCCGTCTTCGAACTATTTACAATATTATATAATGCGAATGCCCAGTGCAGCATTGAAAATCAATTTGCGGTTTTATGTTTTGTCACCGCGCCAAGCAGCTAGCTAGAATATAAATTTCGTTAGTTTAGTTGACAATATTTGTAGTTATATCGAATGCAAGCGCTCAAACCTTGACTGTGAGTTTCCATTTACACCAGCCAAGTGGAAAACTCAGCTGCTTCATTTTCACTTCGCTCCGGTTGCACTTGTCGCCGCAGAATGTTTAGCAAGCGATTGCACAAGCGGAAAACGATTTAACAGCAGCAACAGCAGCAACAGCAGCAGCAGAAGCAGCAGCTATTTATTTAGGTCAACGCCTACGTTGCAGAGAGACAAACTTACTCAACGGCACCCACAATTCATCATTTGTGGCCTGGTGTCTGGCTACCTGGTCAGAAGATTTTTTGGCGCTGCTCATTTAGCGTCACGCCAGAGAAGATCCAACAGCAACAACAACAACAACAGCAACAACGGACGACAACTGCGACGACTCTTCGTTTTTGGTAATTAAGTATGAATGCCGGCGCTAGACGCAGCAAACCAAATGAACAACTAGTCAACATTGGGGGCTACGGGGAATGGACGCTGCCTCGGGGGTACCAGCTAAAGGGGATGGGGGGGTGGGTCGCTCAAGGGGCCACATTGGTAGCGTTACCTAGGGGCCGTTTGCAATGCGGGAAATAGAAAATTATAACGAAATGAAATGAAATTTTCAAATGGCATCGCATGTTGTTGCTGCCGCTGCTGCCGCTGCTGCCACACGCCACCTGCCCCTCGACAAACCCAGCCAGCAGCCGCCAGCCGTTTATGAGTTTTACGCTATTTCTGGCCCCTGCTGTCGGCAACAGCAGCAGCAGCAACAACATCAGCAGCTGAAAAGCATTTCGAGAATAGGAAGACGACGATGTCGTCGCCTTCGTCATCAACCCGCCGCCTTGCCAAAAATATTATGCTTGTTAGCCCAGCCTCGCCCCCTTGACTTGGGCCTGTCTGTAATTCACATTTGGAAATCAGAGATCAGCAACATAGCTCGGCACATCCGCACAGCACAACACCTAAGTTCGCGTCGAGTGGCGCTAATGGAGCCGCATTGCACTTGCAGTCCGCATCAATGGCAGCCACTGTTCTGGTCTCAAGTGCGCAGCCCACTCGATCTTAATGGCCAGGCACTCAAACAAAAAACAACGACAACAACCATAGTGATGCATCCGTCTTGGGCTGCGGCAAGCGGATGTGACATAATCCGCCAGCGGCTATCCAATGCATCCAAAATGCATAAAACGCCTGCCATTCATAAGATCTAGTCGAGATTCAGATCTGTGTCGGCGATATCAAAGCCCAAGCGAGCGCCCCACAGGTGGCGCCTTCCCCCACCGAAGCTTTTGGTAGCATGAGTCGCATTTTGAATGCCCTATAAAATCAAAGAAACACCATTAAAGAAACTTAATAGATAGACATTCAACAAACGACACACATTTGACATACAATTATACACAGATGACTTCTTTAATTTATCAGAGTTTAATTATTTCGCGTCCCAGTAAATCCCTTTTAACTTTATTTCGACTGGTTACGAGGCTCTTCAACTATGCTGCATGCCCCACAAGCTATAGTTTTGGCTTGAAGCTGAGCTTATGGCCAAAAGCCGCGCTCAATTAGCCAGTCAAAAAAGTTTTTGCGTTAATTTTCGCGGCACTTGCGGCACATTCCAAATAAATAGCCAGAGCAGCTAAGATAAATGATAAGATGCGTCTTGCTGCTGTTGTTGTTGTTGTTGCTTGTGGTGTCCACTAATTGTTTTGCCTTGCTGTTAATTTCTGCCCGCATAAACGCATTGCCCTGGGCCAACTGCTGCTCCACTAAAGCAGCCCGCAACCTCCCCCTGCCCCCTGCTCGCCTGCCCCTAACCCGGCTGACAAGGAAAAACGCTTCAACAGTTGCGCACGCGGCCAAAGATTAATGAATATTCAAATTGTTCGATATTTGAGCTGAGCGTTATATATAACATATTTGAGAAATCGTGTTCATTATTATTATTAGTTTCCCATGGCTTATTGTTTAATGGTCAAAACTAACCGTTCTTCTCTGCCAACAATTTTCGACTCAGAGACTGCAATTTGCGTTGGCGGCTTTGGTACTTTGAACTTGTCTGCTGGTGGGCGTGGCTAACTATTTTTATTTTTTGGCCACCATTTAGCGGAAATGCTTCAGTGTGTATTTCTGTGTGTGTGTGAGTGTGTGTGTGTGTGTGTGTGTGTCTGGCATGTAACTGAGGCGAACTGAGCGCTGTGTAGCAGCTGCAACAAGTCTCTGTTGCTGGCCATCTTAATTACGCATTAATTACATCAAACATTAATAATACGACTTGCTCAGG